CCGTTTACTTTGTTACTGGCGCGGCCTACTATGTACTAAGTGGATATTTTAAGAAAATTTGAAATGTTGAGATTAATAGTAAAATAAATATAGACTTGTTATATATTTTCGAGAAGCCCATGCCAAGCTGACTACAAAAATCTAAAAATATACAGGGGTTCTGTTTAAAAAACCTAAGTATAGTTAATATCTCAAGAAATATTTTTTCGAAAAAGTCTGATTACGCCACTGTATTCTACACAGAAAAGTGCTTTTTAGAATGTATAATTCATTTTTCACTATCAAGCATCTTCAAAAGTACAAAATTTGTAAATCCCCTGTAGCTTCGAAACCGATCAAGATAGCCACGATCCGTTTGCGCCATTGTAATTTTTTTCAAAAAAGAACCCGAGACTGCAGTATCAAAATTTGAATATTTCTCACGGTTTCCTCGATACCCTATAAAAACAACAAAATGGTCCACCCTGTACAAACCATACTTCAAAAGTTTTATAACAGAATTTATAATTTAATATCAAAAGTAACGGTGTTGTATTATTAAATATTTTTTGAATGTTTTCTGGTCAATATCAATTAACACAAATATAAATTAAATCGTATAAAGTCAACTATTCTCATTTAATTAAACAATGCATTTAATTAAACTGTGTTTTGAAATATATTCGTCAATATTTGTTTATAGTATCGCTATAAATAGCTCGAACGAATAAAACCATCAATTTTAATTTTGACTTTTAAGTGTTTTGTTTATTTTGTCGTCTAAAATGCCTTACTCTTTGACAAATCACAATTCCCAACAATTTCTGAAGTTTCAAACTCGGGAAATTTGTTAAGTAATTTAATTATATCTGCGTCGACGTTTTATGGAGAATAAGATTTTGGTATATTCTCCCTTTTAAAAAAGACAAAAGCAGAATTTTTGTTAATCATAATTAAACTACAATAATTGGTTTTTCACTTAAAGAGAAGACAGATGATTAAAACTAAATTAATATAAATTGAGCGTTTATACAGAGTGTTCCTTAATGACATGCTAATATTTAAGGAAGTGATTCTTGGACCTATTCTAAGAAAAAACCTGTTTGCCAAACAATACATATTTCTGAATACAATCTTTTCATGTATCAAAAATTGTAATATAGGTGAATCGTTGAATTCTGTCTCATGATTTACTTAAAGAAGTGGGTATCATAATCAGATAAGTTATGATCTCACTTTGATTTTTAATTATATTTTGTCTTTTCCTTTTTTTTGGCACTGGTATTTTAGTCTGATAATGATGTAATTTGTCTGTTTAATTGTGCGTAATATTAATGAAATTAATTTTAAATAAATTGTTTGTAAGTCCGCCACCTTTTGCAATTGACAGCTCACATCACGCACGCTTATTTGTAATAAATTGATATTCACTGCAAACCAATGATATACTAGATATTATACAGGGTGGTCCAAATTGTATACGGGAAATATGGCAGCATATTCTGCAGATAAAAGCAAGTAATAAAGTTCGTATGTATGTCCTAAAATGCTTTGTTTCGGAGATACGGGGTGTAGAAGTTTCATTTTTATTTTTTTTTTTTTTAAATCATTTCTTAACTAACGTCGATATTTGGATGAAAATTGGCGTCTGAGTGATTTTTGATATGAAACATTTGGGATTTTGATAGGGACTCCTACTTGGCATCGTTAGTAAAGTATCACATTTTTCTATAAATATAAGCACCTTTTCCGTAGCATTCAACTAGGTAAATAAATTTTGTGCTTTTTTTTGACATTTTAAAACAGCAAAAAATATGACGTTAATTAAAATTGTGTCAATAATCTATCAAAGAATGAAATCGAAATTATATTACCATAGATATGTCTTTTGATTTTTAGGACTTTATCCATTAATAGACGGTATTAACCATTTTAGAAGAAGCAAAATTTTTTATAAAGAATGTATTTTTCTCAAAATGTAGACAATAAAAAAAGTTTTTCATATATTCAATTGAATATTTCACGAAATAATTTGTTTCAAATATAATAAATTCATGAAATTCATTCAATAATTTGTAATATTCTGTTTTACATAATACAATTAAATGATAAGCTCAAAATTTTTTATGCGTTTGAATGCACCTAGATATTTTTATATTTCTATTTCTTTAAATTATCCTACTATCGATGCTTTCTTTCAAATCGTTGCAGAAAGTTGGCGTTGAAATAGCTAATCCTAGCAACCGGCGCTCGTGATTTGTAAAAAACGTGAATATTTGTTTTTTTATTCTACAATAATACCAAGCTTAGTTTTTAGCTTTGTTTTTATTTTGCGTTAGTTTTAAAGTAGTGTAATGCGGTTTAAGTGTACTGGTTCCGTTTCAGCAGGTTTATAGTAAGGTAGGATTTATTTTATAGCTTATATTTTTATATTTCTGTTGTTGGGAGGATTAAAGTTTTAAAATAAGCATGTGAAGCATATTTTTAAGATATACTTTTTCTGTTAAATGCGAGTTTTTAGCTTTATATGGCTCTATTATAATATGATCTAATAGGCGTGGTATATTCTCTGCCGGTGTTGCCATCATAGGAGACTATTGTAAACAACCGGCATATACAGGGTCCGGTAATAGTGCGTCGGGCATCTGTAGCTCCTAGAATAAAAAAAAATTGGAAATTTTGTTTAAGTGCTAACCTAAAGTATGTACTAGGATGTATTTTAGGTAAATATTTTAACTTCTACAGGGTGGCTCAAAAAAGTGTGAGTGGATCGGGATAATTTTTTTTAATAGAACAACCCTGTATATTATTGCATTTTTGGCTTTCCTTCAGATCACTTTACATAATCCTAAGATATGAGTAGATATATTTCGATAGTTTCAGAGATATCAATAAATAAATAAAAAATGATGTATATTTTTCATTCTTAAAAAAATGTATTAAAAATACAAGAACTGTCCTGAAATCAAAACTATATTATGTATTTATGTTAGATGGTCTGTACTTACTTTACTATAAATATCGTAATATTAAATCATACAGGATGTTCAAAATTCTATGCCAAACTTTCTAAAATATAAAATAAGTTTTCTTGTTTTTTTTTAATGGAACACCCTGTATATTTTTTCTAAAAAATGGATAATTAAAAAATTTACATTTTTATGTATTTAGAGTATTTCAAAATTTTTAACGGTTTCGTAAATATTCGCGGTTTTATATTTCATATGGCATTTTCCAGAGTAAACTTTTATCAAAGCCACCTAATGATTCTTCTCTCGTATTTTACCGTTGAAAGAGCCATACGGAATAATATCGCGAGTATCTGCCAAGCCGTTACAATTTTTGAAATACCCTAATTACGAAAAATGTAAAAATTTTATTCTCCATCTATTAAAAAAAGGTATTCCATTTAAAATAACAAAAAAAAATTATTTTATATTTCAGAAAGTTTGGTGTAGAATCTTGAACACCCTGTATGATTTTACCACGCCCTCCTTTACACGTTTTTCGACATTTTTTCGACGATTTTATTAACATTTGAAATTGTCACAACACAAGCGACGTTCAGTTCCGAAAGAGCGTTGATTTTGGCACTACTGATTTCTCTATATAAACTCACCGGCAAAAAAAAATCGGCCACTAAAAACGAGACTCAATTTCAAAGTTGGATTTCTCGCGAACCACTCATTAGATTTTGATGATTTTTCTTTTAAATTGTAAACTAATTCCTTTTTAACGGATGCTACGTCAGAAATTTTTATTCCGAATTTATTTTGAGCTTATACAGGGCACAACAATAAGACGAAGTTTTTTGCCCGAACTTTGTAACACCCTGTAGGGTGCAGCAGCGGTAGTAGCTGTTGCTAAATTAAATCACATTGTAGCCCAAACTTTTGTGAGCATTATGTTTTTTTAATCACCGCATTATCTCTTTTTGTATTGGAGATATGCTGTTTTAAAACAAACGTCTCGGAAAAATTCAGAATTCATCTCGGAAAAAGCAGAAAGTTTTATGTTGTAATATGATGGTAGACCACCCTATATATGATATTGTAATATGATGGTATAGACCACCCTGTATCTAATAAATTGTTGGTTTGTTACATATTTGGCAATAGGAAATATGTTGCAACTATTGCATACACAGCAGAATCTATGACCCAGTCATCGGTCAATGCCTGTAATTAACAATTATTAATAAAGATACTTTTGTCATGAACTAAGGTGTTTGATTCCTTCTCAACCAAGACTTTATAAAAGTATTACAATGTGTAAATAATCAAGGTGACATAGGCAAAAACGGATTTATGAGTATTTGCAATATGAGAAAAACGATGGTCAAATTAAAAAATGCTATTCTCTGTAACGGATGTCTCTGGCCGAAGTCAACGTTATGTCTCCGATACCCTGGGTATATTTCGAACAACAGTCCAGGATGCCTGGAATCGGTATATGGAAACAGGAAATTTCACCAGGCAAGTGGACACTAGATATTAGTCCCTTAAAATGTCTTTACCTTTTTCTTAATTTTCATGTTTTAGTTAGTTTACGTCTACGTTCTGATGTTTGATTTGATTTTAAAGCTTTTTTCGAGGCGTTTGTTTTAAAGCAGCGTATCTCCAATACAAACAGAGATAATGTCGTGATTAAAAAAACAAAATGCTCACAAAAGATGAGGCTACAATGTGGTTAGATTTAGCAATAGCAACTACAGCTGCTGCACCCTACAGGGTGTTACAAAGTTTGGGTAAAAAACTTCTTCTTATTGTTGTGCCCTGTATATGCTCAAAATAAATTCGGAATAAAAATTGCTGACGTAGCATCCGTTAAGAACGAATAAATTTACAATTAAAAAAAAAATCATCAAAATCTAGTGAGTAGTTCGCGAGAAATCCAACTTTGAAATTGTGACTAGTTTTTAGTGGCTGGTTTTTTTTGCCCGCGAGTGTATATTTAATCTAATATTTTTTGACAATATTATGCAACCAATCTCATAAAATATAAAAATTGTAAGATTTTTATTAAATCCTCAGCACTGAATTGACAGAAAAATAATTAATAGCGTTGATATAAATTTTATGTTTAATTCATTTGTATTTAGGCATAACCTTTTCTTTCTCTTCTGGATCTAAGCTGTTGTAAGATACACAAACCGGGCTCTTCTTCGTTTCATCTTCCGCCGCGCCTTTAGCGGATGATGATCCTGCTCCCAATTTATCTATTACGTTTTTCGGAAAATGGGCTATTCCAGAAAATATGTTTGAAATAGCTCCGTTCCAAAGCCTTTGAAACTTCAACGAAATATCCTCAGCTCTGAATGGCGGCAAGTCGCAGTGTCCGTACGGGTCGTAGCTTGATTGCTGCAAAGAGATTTTTGTCATTAGTTTTACTTGACATTTTGCCTAATTTTTAAGACTGTATTTTCTTATAAAACCAGGTTAAATATAGTTAATATCAAATAACTTAACAAATAAACTTTTAGTCACATGATTAAGCTTGACCGGCACAGCGTTGCCTACTTTTACATATTTTCTTTTAATCAAAATATTTTAGAAAACAAAAAATAATTAATTATAAATATATAGACAGTTATTATTTACATCAACAAAACTCACCTTAACAACACTTAAGGGACATAAAGGGCTATTACTACTGCTTTCCCGTTCAAAATAGTGTAATAAAGTTGCGATAAGTTTTTTACGGCTATTAAGCTATTTTGTACACTTCGCACTAAAAGAGGTTCTAAAAAAAAACAATGTTTGACTGAAAGGTCTGCTTGTAAAAATTTTTGAGCTTAATATCAAAACACAATTCATTTAAATCAAAAACTCGTAATACAAAACTAAAGTGTTAAAACGAATGACAATGTCAGGAAATAAATAAATAAATGTGGCATATTGACATTTTTTACAGCAGAGCTACCACCTGAAGGTTACTACTGCTACCCCAGTGGAAAATTTAAATTCCAATTAGTCATCCCAGCGCTGAATATGTTCATGGTTGCCAACAATGAGTTTAAAAACCGAGCCCTGGATTATATAGTGCGTCTAGAAAGTATCCGGAATTTTATATTTTTCCTAATTTTAATGTATTTTTTTTCTGTAACACTCTAAGACAGCAGTAATCCATCACGTAGGTTGTGCTGATAGTAGGCTATAACCAAAATCGCATGGCAACACCATCTGTCAAATATTTTTGATTGTAAACCGGCTTAAGATTTGAGAAATAATGTCGCAAGTAAAAAAAAAAGAGAAATGGTGGAACATTTGTATAGAAAAGGTGTTCGAAACGTTAAAAAATTAGTGCAATTAACTGAACTCGGAAAAAGTGGAGTATATGAGACAATAAAGAGGATAAAATGGCACAGTTATGAAGCATATACCAGTTTCAGGAAGACCGTGTAAGATTCGCGAAAACAATTTAAACTATTTAGTGGCATTAGGACGACAGAATCCGCGCCTAGGGTTTCGCAAATTGACTAACAGATTTGGAAGTCAGCGAAAATTAAAAGTGTGTCCAGAAACCGTCCGCATGTCACTGAAAAGACAAGGCATATCAAAGAAACCAAAAAAAAATCCCTGCAATAACGCCTCTACAAAGGCAGCGAAGAATGGATTTTTGTCAACGTTTTCAGGAAGATAATTTTAATAATGTTTTTATTTCTGATGGAAGTTGTTTCCAGCTTGGTGGAAACCACCTAAAAATCCTATCAAAAGAAAATATTACCGTTCAAGTTACAAAATTTCCCACTAAAATAATGGTTTGGTGAGCAATATCTCAGCGTGGTGCTATACCTCTGTATATAGTTGATGGAACTGTGATACTTGTGATATTTTAAATGGTTTTCTTCTTGAAACGGCTCATGTTTTATATCCAGAGGGATGGCGTTTTCAGCAGGATAACGCAATATGCCATACGTCTGCGTATACTCAAGCTTGGATGCAAGAACGCAACAACGATTTGGCAACAATTCCATAGCCAGCAGCTTCACCAGACCTTAGTCCCATTAAAAACATATGAGGATTAATGAAGATTGAAGTGGAACGAGCAGCCACGAAATAAACAAGATTTGATTCGCTCAGTTTTACAGGCCTGGACTACCACCACTGAACATTATGGTGTGGACCTAGTTTCGGATGTACCTGGACGTTTAGTTAAGTGTTTGGAGTTAAATGGAGGTTGTATCAGAAAATAAAATTAATAATTTGTTATAACTCAAGTCCTAAAAATATATACCGATAATTGTAATTTTGCTTTCTTTTTTCCGGATACTTTCTAGACGGACTATATAACAGTTATATAATAAAAAAAATAATATAAACTTTTTGTTACTAAAAGTTTAGTTGATATCAAATATATATAATAATTATGCTTTGAATATCAAAAAGTGAATATGTTTTGTTAATATATTACGTATCGTTAGTCTAGCAAACAATTTCTGTAAACGACATCTAAAAAATTAGATTTAACAGAAAAAAAAAACAGTTTACTTTTGATTGATTCTAGTTTTTACTTCAATAATCACTAATCAGATTTTAATAATAATAGCTCCCATATATAGCGTTCAACGCCTTGGGAGTAGCAAGGTACAGTTTGCCATACTAGAGCCGTTCGGTATACAAGGAAGGTAATGTGGCCTAGCACTACGCTTCAACCGCCTATTATTACCTCAGGATTGTGAATCCCAAGTACTCATTTAAGGCTGAGTCGACCTAGGTACCCAAACTATTTTTATTTTAATAAAAATAGTCGGCTGATTCGAACCCACTAGCTTGAGATTGGTAGACGAGAGTTTGTACCTCTACGCTACCGGGCACACCTCTAATCAGATTTTACTTACATGAAATAAATCGCTCTCGGCTTCGCAGGATGGTGGGTCCCATTTGGTATTTTTTTTCGGCCGAGGACCCTTGAACATCGCACAAGCGGTATTGTACATTTCCTGGGTTTCATCTGTGGTGCCCCATATACCCATGTCGTACGAAATATAAACCAGTGCTGCAGCTACTGCAGATTTCATTCCAAAACCTGAAAATAGTTCGCATTCAAATTGGTATTTAAACATATAAGAAAACAGACAAGGTATATGATACATAATGTCATTATCCATAATATCATAAAATTATACATAAAATCCCGACCGCTCACGTTTGTGTCATCATCATCATCATCATTCTGAAATTATTCAACCATTGACAATTATGGTGTAGTCTCCTTCATATATTTAGATAATCTCTTTGTAGTTGGGCCCATTGTTGTCTATTGTTGGATATGAGGGTCCAAGTTATCCCTGCTAATTTCCTAATATCATGGTCCCATCTCTGGTTCGGTCTTCCTCTAGGTCCATCTGTTGTCCGTCCTTCCTGCGAGGTGTCCTACCCATTGCCACTTGAGGGATTTGATTCTGTGGATGACATCTAGTACCTGGGTCTTTTGTTGTATCCACTCTATTCTTTTATGGTCTTTCTTGGTTATTTCCAGCATAATAAAAATAATAATTAAATAAATAGCTAATTGGGGTAATAAATCGGCATCATTTTCGATCAAAAACTTATTATCAATGAACACATTGACTATGTTGCTAGTAAATGTAATCGCTTCTTGGGATTTGTTATAAGATCGTGCAAATTTATTTCACCCCTGCAATCTATAAAGTCTATGTACTTTGCATATATTTGTAGCAGGATGAATTTTGTTTCGGTGGTCTGGTTCCAGCAATACTTTGTATATAAAACAAGATTAGAAATTATACAAAAAAAATTTAGATTTTTAGATTTTAAGAAAAATAACATTTATAATTATTATGCGAACACAGATCTCTTACGTCAGGAATTTGGGTTAATTACTCTTGAGCAGCGTCGCACTTGTGCTGACGTTTGCTTTTTACACAAATTAATCAACAGTAAATACGATGTTTCAATTTTGTTGGAAAAAGTTAATTTTAACGTTCCCCAGCGTAATTTTAGAGGAAATTATTTGTTTTCTAAGAACTTTTACTATACTAATTTAGGTAAGAATTCACCACTGAACCGAATGCAGACTGCGTATAACGAATTATTCCATAACATAGACATTTTTATTGTATCCTATCCAGTATTTAAGAGTAGAGTCAAGAGAAACATTAATAATTTTTCTAATGATGCTTAAGTAATTGCTTTAAATTAAGTTTTTTTTTTATTTTTTTAGATCTTAAGGTTTAGTAATTAAGTAATTAAAAATTGTGTTGATTTGTATACTACACTATTGTAAACTGAGGTGCCATAATATTGGGTCTTGGACCTGTTTGGCATCCTTTAGTCTTAAATATCGTAGATGTTGATGAGAATAAAAACCACTTAAGTTAAATGGCTAATAAAGTGGGTGGGTATTTTAAATGCACATTTAACATAGTGTCTCCGAAATGCATTTTGTAAATTAAAAAACTTGTTCGAATCACGCAAAAGCCTAAGGTATAGAAAATACAATTTGACATTCACAAATTATAGGTTGACAACTTAAAGTATCTTGACATTTGTCTATTGTTGGCTCTGCGGTCCCAAGTTATCCCTGCTAATTTCCGAATATCAGAGTACCATCTTAGGTTTGGTCTTCTTCTAGGTCTCTTAATTCATTCGTGGGTACAGTGCTGTAATTTTTGTAGTCCATCTCTGTTGTATACCGGTGATTCTTCTTGCTAGGTATCCTTGCCCATCGCAATTTGAGGGATTTGACTCTGTGGATGACATCTATTACCTGGGTCTTTGTCGTATCCACTCTATTCTTTACGGTCTCTCTTGGATATTTCCAGCATATTTCGTTTCATTGAGCGTTTGTTTATCGCAATTTCTTTACGATGTCCGTTTTAAGTGTCGAGGTTTCTCATGCATAGGTCATGGCTGATAGTACCAATTGATCAAATGTTTTCTTTTTTGGATAGAATGGCATTTTAGATTTAAATATGATTAAGTTTCTTCCATCGAAACATTGAAACCTGGTCATTTCTAGCTGCAATGGAGGACGCGAGAATTGATTCCAGATATTATTCCATTATTAAAAATATCTATGACAGTGCAACCTTCCAAGTTAAATTAGATGATGACCTCAAAACAGAAAAAATACCACTCGGCAAGAGCGTGAGACAAGGAGATACCATCTCTCCCAAGTTATTTACACTGGCACTGGAAAATGTCTTCAAGAAATTAGAATGGCAAAATAGAGGTCTAAACATCGATGGGGTACACCTTAGCCATCTGAGGTTCGCAGACGATATTGTCTTACTGAGCACCGACATTCAAGAACTGAACGCCATGCTAAATGAGCTAAATGACCAATCCCAGAAAATTGGCCTTAAAATGAACTTGAAGAAGACCAAGATAATGAGCAACAATATCCATAAAATTACCGTTGACAATGTTATTATTGAAAACGTAGACCATTATATATATTTAGGTCATAAAATCAAGTTTGGCAAGGAAAACCAAAATACGGAGATCAAACGTAGGATCCATTTGGCATGGGTAGCATTTGGAAATATGAGCGATATTTTCAAGGATAAAAAGGTGCCCATGAACCTAAAGAAAAAGGCTTACGACAGCTGCATTCTACCTGTGCTTACGTATGGCTTAGAGACTATGCCAATTACCCTAAAAACAGCAGAACAACTACGAGTAGCACAAAGAGCCATGGAAAGAATCATGTTGGGTGTCACCATTAGGGAAAAAATACGGCATACCCACATACGTCTAAACACAAAATTAATAGAGTCGTTAAAAGAGTGGCAGTTCTAAAGTGGCAATGGATAGGACATGTCGCAAGACAGGATCCAGACCGATGGCCCCAAAAAGTCGTCCTATGGAGACCTAGGGAAACAATAAGAAGTGTGGGCCGACCAAAAAAGAGATGGGTCGATGACGTCAGGGTAGTGGCGGGAAGACAATGGATAAGATTGGCTAGAGATCGTGAAGCATGGAAAAACCTAGAAGAGGCCTATATCCAACACTGGATGGAACCAGGCTGAGAAAGAAGAAGAAGCAGTTTCTTCCATAAGTCCTCCACGCTAACTTAATTCTTCGGTTGATTTCTGATAGTAGAGATCCTAATATGTGTATTAGTTGCTCTAAATATCTTCCAATACCAATTTCGGCAGATAAAAATAAGTAAAAAAGTTGTATAAATGTATGTCCTAAAATGCTTAGTTTCGCAGATACAGGGTGTAGAAATTTCATTTTTATTTTGATTTTTTCCAAATAATTTCGGAAGTAAGGTTAATATTTGGATGAAATTTGGCGTCTGGCAGTTTTTTGACCTAAGAAATTTGATTTTGATGCCAATATGACTCTTACTTGTAGGGGGCGCCACCTACATATTTTTTTACTAGTATTAAGAGTAATAACTTTTCGTCCGTACCTGTAAAAAAATCCCACAATTATGTATTATAAAAGTGAACCAAACCGAGCTATTTCCAAAATTATAACGAATTCCCTTCTCAAAGACGAAAGCAGCAGGCGGAAATTCGAATTTCCCCCCATTTCGAAACAATTACGAGGCGCCTTGACAACCGGATGGGTGGGACGAAAGCCAGCGTTTCGTCTCATTATTAAACTCCCCTCGCAAAAACTTAGTTGGACCGGTTTCCTAAACTAGTCGCCGCCGCCTAACAACGGGCAGGCAGGCGGTGTGACAGAAGGACGACGACAAACGCCTCAAAGTTATTCGGAATTAAGTGGCGGCTGATAGTTGTGCTGTTTTCGACCTCCAACGTCCCTTTGTATGAATTAATTATTATAAATCTAAAATCAATTCGTTGTTGGAAATGTTTGAAAGTTTTGAAATTACGCATCGCTTATTAACGTACAGTTTCAGTTAGAGTCTGCATTATAGGCTTGATGCATTCTCCGCCGCGCCGGTGCTGCCACCATCCGGAGAATATCGTAAAAAAATAAATATAATTTTTCCATAGCGAGTTACGTTTTAAAAATATTTAGAAATTATTATTTGAAGGAATTTATTACGACTAGAAAAAATATTGTGCTGGGTTGGCGTTGGTTTCTATGTAATTTGACGAATAAATAAAGCTGTCTCCATAGATAAAAGACTTATACTATTAAATAGATAGGCAACTTATAATACATTTCAATTTTATTATACAAGGGCGCCTCTGGTAGACGGAGGAAGAAATACTAATGGAAGAGAGGGGTGCGGGAAGGGGGTTGTTTTAGTTAATTTTAAAATAAATTTAGACATACATGCAAGAACTCTTTGTGTGCTTTTAATTAGGTCGAACATATTATAAACGATAAATCAACTGAATTAAAAGCATGCAAAGTGTTCTTATATGTCGGATATTAATTAAAAAATATATTAAAAAAACTAGAAATAGTATATATTAAGTTGTTACAGTTATAATTTAATCTTTGGCGGTTTTCAGCAAATAGCAGGCAGTTTTACATAATTTTCCTCCCTTTGAAGTGAATTGGAAACGGCTATATAATTTTGGTGTAGGCAAGATTCCCAGTTTGTTTCCGTTTGGGACCTGAAATAATAAAAACAAATTAAATTAGATGTAATCATCTGCTGATCATGCTAATATAAAACGCGCGTCCTTAATTCCTTACATGCACCGTAAAAAAAATTAAATAACTGCTCTGCAAGTAGCATTTTTATTAGCAGTACTAATTTAAAAAATCTATAACTGTAAGTAGATATGTTTAATTTACTTACCATTGTATCCTTCCGGAAACCAGGTGTACAACAATTAAACTCCATGATAAAAAATAATTAAGAGTTATTACAAAACGCAAATTGTTTCACCATTTTTAAAAAACATTGTCTAAAACAGAATACTGGCAAAAATTCTGAAGGAATTTAATTTTACAATAATTCGACAAATCAAAACGAAATCAAACCGTAAAATCACAACAAAAGCGTCTCTGAGTGACAGTTAAAAATCAAATTTTATTATTGCCAGATATTGACATTTGCATTGTTAATATTGACAGTTTTAATATTTTGCGCCTCTGCATCTTGGAGGAAAAACTATTTTTAATGAACTGTCATTTCCATTTAAGTTTCCCAGCCATGGCTGTCTCTTTAGTTGTCAGTTTTGAGTCAATATTTTTTAATTCTCTTTATTGTCGATTGCCGATTAAATTGGAGCAAGAAATGGCTCAAAACGAAATAAGTAATTTACCAACAGATATTCAGGCTGAGGCGACAAAACGCCGTATCAAACTACTTCCATTTAAATCCCGAATAAGTTATGTTAAAAAAACAATACAAAACATTTTCAAAAATGGAAGCAATTAAAATACGTGCGAGAAGAAATAAAATTTTTAACCTATCCTCGCTGCTAAAGTATCATTTAATCTACCCTTGCGGTTAAAGTACTATTTTATTTACTATTTTTGATAGATATAAGGCAATTTTAATAGTTGCTACAGAAAAAAATATTATTCCAATTAAAAAAAAATAGATGAGTTCAACTACGGTAGCGAGCAGAGTTTTAATCACGGGTTTTGCTAGTGGGGTATAATTGGGGCTATTTCGGCTATAACAAAAAATTTTAATGGTACATAATTATAATTTTAGAAGATATTCATAAAACATTTAATCACTAGTCGATTAAAAAAGTATACATTAATATTGCAAATTATATTTTATCCTCTCATAGTATGTCTATTTAATTTTTTGATTATATAACGAGCACTTTGTTTAATCACTTGTTTCGTCGAACTGCTTGAATCCATTTTTGTTATTGATAAAATCGGTGTGAGAACCTATTAAGCTATAAAATGTTGTTTCGGGAGACTTCAATATCCGGGAAAGTTGAGTTATTGAATTTTGTTGCACATAACAATGCCTTAATTACGCTCTTCTTTATGCGTTACTATTTTTTAGGCAATTTTATTAACATTTGAAATTGTCTCAATACAACACGATGCCTAGTTCGAATTCTTTTTCACTTATTTTTTACTACCCGAAACAACGTTACATTACACAAACTTCGTACCTGAGTATTTTATAGTCTCAATAATTTGCCTAGCAAAAAACTAAAATACTTGAATATTAAGACAAAACCACAATTTCAATATTATTTTAATGCGATCACCATGACGTATGACGGCGCGGCGCGGCGGCGTGAACTATATATTGATAATTTCTGATATTTGCCGTTGAAGCGCTGCGGTCGGAATTTGTTGAAATCAACTGAAATGCACCAAGCATATAAGACTTTTTTTTATTTCCTTTATTGGAGTCTGAATTCGGCGATAGTTTTTGTTTTAAATTGGAGTAAAAACGACTTAAGAAAATGTTGCTCTCGAGTATACCGCGTGAAAAAAAAACTGTATTTACTTTTAAATTGAAACTGAACAGACACCTACTAAGGGAGTATCTAAATATGTGATGGAGGCTACACCGTACTATGAAATGGTTGAATAAGCTGAAAATGATGATGCTTATGATGATATACTACCTGTATCTTATTTATTTCAAATGGTTTCTTTACTTAAATATAAGTATATTATATTACCTAGGAATTTTAGAAGTCCAAATCTCTTTTTCACTTCTACTTCCTTAAAACATACTGGCGGGGCACACATCTTTCTTAATTCTTTACCAGTACATATGTTTATTCTTTTTGGTTTCGGTTTACATATTGCTAAATTAAAACAAAAAGAAACATGTAAATGGGAAATAAAATGATATGCACTTTAAAATTTTCCATATTATTCCATTTATCCTTATAAAGTAAATTGTATTCAATAAAAAAATGATTTTAATTTACTATTTATAATAATGCATGCATCGCTTACTTTTTTAATTTATAGTAGGTCTTTCCAAATAAATAATTCTCATTCATTCTCTAATAAATGTATTATTGTTTATTTTGTTTCTTTAATATATTATGTACAGGGTGGGTCAAATTCGACGCTTTTAAATGG